GGTTCTGAACAGTTAAAAAAGGGTTTAAGTGGTTAAATCCAAACTGTACTGTTCCTGTTGTTTCATAATTAGAAAGGAGTGTTATGCGTTACTGGACTAAATTTTGTTTCTAATATATGTATACAGTTTGAAGGTTTTTTTTTTTAGCATAATAAATGTTTTTTATTTTTGTTATACATACTACCTGGCTTTACTGGACATTTCTTTTTTAATACATAGGTTTATATATATTTGGTCTAGTTATACTCAATATTTGGTTCTGGGGATATAACATACCGCTCATAGTGTGTGAGTGGGGTAATTCTTCAGTGGAGGCCACCCGCCTATTAGGGATTAAATAATTTACATACATTTCTGCCTGTTATAGTATAACAACATCTGGTAAATAGAGGTTAGCCAAATTCACCATCAACTGCTAAATACTCAGGATCCTGTTAATTAAAACCCTTTACTGTAGTAACCTTCTCTAATATTACACTCTCGGCCAGGAAGGGGTTATATATATATATATATATATATTGAGTGGGGGCATGTAGGGGTTTAGTACCACCAGGCACTACCAGGCGTCGGTCGTTAACTGAATACAGGTTGCAGGATGGAACATAAACCTCGAGGATAGTTTTGACGTAGGAGTGTGCTGTTCCAGACAAGGTCTTGTGCGTGAGCATCAAGGCCTTGAATTTGATCCTGGCGGCTACAGGAAGCCAGTGGAGGAAAATGAAGAGGGGTGTGACGTGGGTCCTTTTGGGCTTTGCTGCTGCATTCTGAATCATCTGAATTAACACTTTGCAGTTATTTACTATTTATGCAGCAACTTATTCCCAATATACTTCAGCTATATAATAAATCCATTAGATTCATTCAATCTATACAATACTTCATTCCTATTAGATTTATTTTAATGCTCACCATCTTCTCATTCATGTATCAACATATTAGTTATAAAAGTGTAATTTTCAGTGGTCTAGACACTATTAAAAAACCTGGTCTCTTGTCCCAACTTTAGAGCCATGAATTACGTGCAGGTGATTTTAATAATATGAATGAAGAAATCATAAAACTGACTTAAGCATCTGCGGAACCCGACTCTGAATATGAGGAACTTTCCTGTTTACATACTGATCTTATTTTTGGACTGAAGTCACTGACTCTGACTCTGAACCACTGTAATTGTTGTGACTCTTAAACACTATTTCTGTAACTTTAATGTTCATTATGACTTCACCACTTTAAATATCTGTGTTTTCATGTAGGGAATGAAGCTGAGAATTATAATGACACCCTTACAGCTGATCAGAAGACAGTTATACTGACAGGTATGTAATAATGTGACTGTTTTTAATCTCAATCATGAACACAGTCATAAATAACATCAAAGTGGATTTACTGTCACTGATTCCATTCAGAACAGACTACTGTGATGCTGCTGTTACCACTAATACACTAATATTATATATACTCACACCATTCATCTGTATACATCTCTCTCTCTCTCTCTCTGCTCTCGCTCTCCGCTCTCTCTCAGACAGTGTGAGGTTGGTGAATGGTGGAAGTCGCTGTGCTGGGAGAGTGGAGGTTCTTCATGATGGAAAGTGGGGAACAGTGTGTGTAGTACTGCCTGGGATATGAAAGATGCTGCAGTGGTGTGTGGCGAGCTGCACTGTGGGGAGCCTGTAGAGCTGCGGTATTGGGCTGAGTTTGGACAAGGTTCCGGACCAATCTGGATATATGATTTGTACTGTAGAGGATCAGAGTCGACACTGAACAACTGTAGATCACAAGGGGGACATATCTGTCAGCATGTTATTGATGCTGGAGTCATCTGCTCAGGTAAATTGTTGTATTTATGGGAAAAAAAGATTAATTATTAGCTTGATTGATTTGATTAATTGTAATTGGTTTTATTTCAATTTAAAGTGTTTGTAACTACAGTGGAATGTTTCTTAATGGTAAAGGTTCTTAAAATGTGCACAAGATTTACATAATTAATTAAAACACAGGTGAAAATTTGAGACTCACTGCTGGTCCTCACCGGTGCTCTGGGAGAGTGGAGGTGTTTCATGGAGGTTCCTGGTCCACAGTGTGTGATGCTGACTTTGACCAGCAGGATGCAGAGGTTGTGTGTCGAGAGCTGGGCTGTGGGATTCCTGTGGAGGTGCTGGGATCAGCTGCTTTTGGCCGAGGGGAGGGTCAGGTGTGGACCGAGGAGCTTCAGTGTAGAGGAAACGAATCTGAGATTACCTTCTGTCCAACATCATCTTCACTCAAACACTCACACTGCTCCCATTACAATGATGTGGGATTAATATGTTCTGGTGAAGTATCATGATTTAACTTCTGTTTAAATAGAGAACACATACCTTTGTGCATGTACAAGTGTGTAAGTGTGTGAGTCCTCATGTAAATGTTTATTTGTGTGTGTGTGTGTGTGTGTGTGTGTGTGTGTGTGTGTGTTCATAGTCTCATGGCAGAACACAGGTATATAGTAAACATTATTCAGTGGCAAGACAAAGTATGTGAACCTTTTGGAATTCCATTGTTTTCTCAATAAATGTGATCTGATCTTCATCTAAGTCAGGGGTATTGACAAATATAATGTGTCTAAAATAATAACACAAAAAAAATTCTGATCTTTCATGTCTTTATTGAGAACAACCATAAAAAAACTCATAGTGCTTGTGGAAAAAGTATGTGAACCCTTGAGTTAATGACCTCAAAAAGCTCATTGGTATCAGGTTTTATCACACCTGGAGTCTCGTTAAGAAAATGAGTTTGGAGGTGTGGACTACAGTGACTTTGACTGATAAAAACCCCTAAAATTTTTGGAGTTTGCTCTGCACAAGAAGCACACGCTTATGTGAGCCATGTCTCGCCAAAAAGAGCTTTCAGAGGATCTATGATCAAGAATAGTTGATTTACATAAAGCTGGGAAGGGTCACAAAGTGATTTCAAAGACTTGAGAAATTCACCAGTCTACAGTTAGGCAACCATTCTACACATGGAGACACTGTGGGACTGTTGCTACTCTACCAAGAATTGGGCACCTAGTGAAAAATGACACCAAGAGCACATCGAAGACTCATCAATGAGGTAAAGAAACAACCCTGAATGACAACCAAAGATTTGAAGGCATCATTGGAACTGTCTAACATCTCTGTTCATGAGTCTACAATACATAAAACACTCAACAAGCAGGGTATCTACAGCAGGACGCCACGAAGGAAGTCACTGCTTACTAAAAAAAACATTGCTGCACGCCTGAAGTCTGTAAAAGAGCACATGGACACTCCACAGTGGTACGGGCAAAATGTTTTGTGGACTGATGAAACTAAGATTGAATTATTTGTAAAAACCACACAGCATTACATCTGGTGTAGAAAGGTCACGGTATATCATCATGAAAACATCTTCCATACCGTAAAGTATGGTGGAGGAAATGTCATGATTTGGGTCTGCTTCGCTGCATCAGGGCCTGGCCAGCTTGTAGTCATTGAGGGGAAGATGAATTCCCAAGTGTATCAGACAGTTCTTCAGGATAATGTGAGAATGTCTGTACGTCTGCTGAAACTGTGTAGAATTTGGGTGATGCAACAGGACAACGACCCAAAACACCGGAGCAAGTCCACAACAGAATGGCTTCAGAAAAACAAAATCCACCTTTTGGAGTGGAGTCAGAGCCCAGACCTCAACCCAATAGAGATGCTGTGGAATGACTTGGAGTGTCATACACATGAGACGTCCAAAGAATATGACTGAGCTAAAGCAGTTCTGCCAGGAAGAATGGGCTAAAATTCCTCCTGAACGATGTGCAGGTCTGACCCACAGCTACAGGAAGCGCCTGGTTGAGGCTATTGCTGCCAAGGGGGACCTACCAGTTATTAATTCTAAGGGTTCACTTACTTTTTTGCACTGCCATTTTGAATGTTGAATGAGTGTGTTCAATAAAGACATGAAAGATCAGAATTTTTTTTGTGTTATTATTTTAGACACATTATATTTGTCAATACCCCTGACTTAGATGAAGATCAGATCACATTTTATGACAAATTTATTCAGTAAACCATGAAATTGAAAAGGGTTCACATACTTTTTCTTGCCACTGTATATCTGATTGTCTCTCTCAGACTTAGGCACTGTGAAGTTGGTGAATGGTGGAAGTCGCTGTGTTGGGAGAGTGGAGGTTCTTCATGATGGACAGTGGGGAACAGTGTGTCATAATGGCTGGGATATGAGAGAAGCTGCAGTGGTGTGTAGAGAGCTGCATTGTGGTGAAGCTGTAAATGTGCGGTATGCTGCTCACTTTGGACGAGGATCAGGAACAATCTGGATGGAAGGTGTTGCCTGTACTGGATCAGAGACAACACTGAAGAACTGTAGCTCAGCAGAGTGGGGGAAAAATAACTGTAATCATGGTCGTGATGCTGGAGTCACCTGCTCAGGTAAACTGCTTTTTCTTACAATGTTTAAAATATGCTCTAGAAAATATCATAATTAACACAATGTATGTTAAAGTTCTATAAAATAAATGTTGAGTGTAATATATTGAGCTGTCAGCGTCTGGTGTAAAGTCCACTTTGATTAACATGACAGTGTGCTGAACACGACAACGCTGCAGTCTGGTGTTAAAACTGCTTTAGAGGAACTCCAAACTATGTGAAGAATAATAACATTTTAAATATAATAATAATAATAATAATAATAATAATAGACTGTTATTTTTTTTTCAATTATTCCATAAATTCATGTGCATAGAAATACATTATAAATAAAGCTTGTGACCACATCCTTATCTCAGGTAACTCCATTTGGGGTCTCAACCCCGAGTTACCAGCTTATGCCTTAAATCATTCACACTTAGATTTTATTAGATTTAGATGAAACAACAGTGAACTCATTTACATTTACATTTCTGGCATTTGGCAGATGCCCTTGACTTACATTTATCTCATTTATATATCTGAGCAGTTGAGGGTTAAGGGCCTTGCTCAAGGGCCCAACAGTGGCAGCACTGGGATTTAAACTAACAATCCTCCGATCAGTAGTCCAACGTCTTAACCACTGCACTACCACTGCCCTCTGAACTGTGATTATTACAGTCTGGTCAGTTTATCCTTCAAACTGTGGGTTTTCTTTACAGGAGAACACACTAATTCAACATTACATTTACATTTATTCCTTTAGCAGACTCTTTCATCCAAAGCGACTTACAAATGAGGAAATATAAACAACGTGATACTTTAAGCAGAGAACAATACAAGTAGTGCTACCACACAAGATTTTTTACCTTGGAGGAGCAAAGTGCACACTTTATATATATATATATATATATATATATATATATATATATATATATATATATATATATTATTTATTTTTTTTTTTTTTTGAGTGGGGGCATGTAGGGGTTTAGTACCACCAGGCACTACCAGGCGTCGGTCGTTAATCGATTACAGGTTGCAGAATGAAACATAAACCTCGACGATAGTTTTGACGTAGGAGTGCGCTGTTCCAGACAAGGTCTTGTGCGTGAGGAAGCCAGTAGAGGAAAATGAAGAGGGTGTGATGGGGGTCCTTTTGGGCTGTTTTAAAACAAGGTTTGCTGCTGCATTCTGAATCATCTGAATTAACACTTTGCAGTTATTTAGATTATTTATGCAGCAACGTATTCTCAATATACTTCACTTCTATTAGATTTATTTTAATGCTCACCATCTTCTCATTCATGTATCAACATATTAGTTATAAAAGTGTAATTTTCAGTGGTCTAGACACTATTAAAAAACCTGGTCTCTTGTCCCAACTTTAGAGCCATGAATTACGTGCAGGTGATTTTAATAATATGAATGAAGAAATCATAAAACTGACTTAAGCATCTGCGGAACCCGACTCTGAATATGAGGAACTTTCCTGTTTACATACTGATCTTATTTTTGGACTGAAGTCACTGACTCTGAATCTGAACCACTGTAATTGTTGTGACTCTTAAACACTATTTCTGTAACTTTAATGTTCATTATGACTTCACCACTTTAAATATCTGTGTTTTCATGTAGGGAATGAAGCTGAGAATTATGATGACACCCTTACAGCTGATCAGGAGACAGTTATACTGACAGGTATGTAATAATGTGACTGTTTTTAATCTCAATCATGAACACAGTCATAAATAACATCAAAGTAGATTTACTGTCACTGACTCCATTCAGAACAGACTACTGTGATGCTGCTGTTACCACTAATACACTAATATTATATATACTCACACCATTCATCCGTATACATCTCTCTCTCTCTCTCTCTCTCTCTCTACCTCTCTCTCTCTCTCTCAGAGAGTGTGAGGTTGGTTAATGGTGAATGTCGCTGTGCTGGGAGAGTGGAGGTTCTTCATGAAGGACAGTGGGGAACAGTGTGTGGTTCTGCCTGGGATATGAAAGATGCTGCAGTGGTGTGTGGAGAGCTGCGCTGTGGGAGGGCTGTAGAGCTGCGGTACTGGGCTGAGTTTGGAGAAGGTTCAGGAGAAATCTGGATATATGATTTGTACTGTAGAGGATCAGAGTCGACACTGAACAACTGTAGCTCACAAGGGGGCATACCTGTTATCATTCTATTGATGCTGGAGTCATCTGCTCAGGTAAACTGTTGTATTTAGAGAAAAAAAAGGTTAATTATTAGCATGATTGATTTGATTAACTGTAATTGTTAGTTGCAATTATTTTCAATTGAAATTTAAATTGAAAGTGTTTGTAACTACAGCGGAATGTTTCTTAATGGTAAATGTTCTTAAAAATATGCACATTATTTACACTGTTAAATTAAACACAGGTCACAGAATGTCAAGACTCACTGCTGGTCCTCATCGGTGCTCTGGGAGAGTGGAGGTGCTTCATGGAGATTCCTGGTCCACAGTGTGTGATGCTGACTTTGACCAGCAGGATGCAGAGGTTGTGTGTCGAGAGCTGGGCTGTGGGATTCCTGTGGAGGTGCTGGGATCAGCTGCTTGGGGGGCCGAGGGGGTCAGGTGTGGACAGAGGAGCTTCAGTGTAGAGGAAACGAATCTCAGATTTACTTCTGTCCAACATCATCTTCACTCAAACACTCACACTGCTCCCATTACAATGATGTGGGATTAATATGTTCTGGTGAAGTATCATGAGTTAACTTCTGTTTAAATAGAGAACACATACCTGTCAATCAAACTTTAAGGTGTCTTTGTTAATTTTCCTCTTTCACTGAGCTCCGGCTGTTTGTTCAGGTCACACAGGGCGGCCGCTGCGTGAGACGGACCGGACTCCTGTTCTGGTCGAGTGGAGCTCCAGTACCTCAGTGAGTGGGGCCAGTTTGTTCTGTAGGCTGGGATATGAGAGCTGCAGATGTTCTCTGTGCACAGCTGGATTGTGGGAGTGCTGTGACTGTGGTGGAGGTGGACTGGTTTGGTGAGGGGGTCGCCACATCTGGGCTGATGTGTTTGATTGTCAGGGGAAGGGAGACACACCTATCACAATGTAACATCTCATCATGGAGTCGAGCTGCATGCTCTCATGAACACGATGCTGGAGTCATCTGTAATGGTGAGATATTAACATCACCTACACCACGTTAGTGAATACAGTCAGTGTTCATTAGAACATTTAAAAGTTATTCTTCTGCTTCAGGATCATCTGTGGCGTTTCATGAGGCGGTCGCGGTTGTCTGGAGGGAGCGAGTGTCAGGGGAGGTGGAGATTTATTTCAGGCAGGACTGGAGGAGAGTTCTCCTGGACTCGTGGAGTCTGTCTGAGGCGTCTGTGCTCTGCAGACAGCTGGGCTGTGGCTCCGTGCTGAACTACCGCTCCTCTCCATCCACCACTGAACACAAACACATGTGTGTAACGGGTTTCAGCTGCTCTGGGAGTGAAGCTCATCTGGGGAACTGCAGCAGTGCACAACCTGTCAACTGCAGCTCCGGGGAACATCTGTACATCACCTGCTCAGGTAAGCAGCACTACACCTACCAATGAGCAACAATTTACAGCAGTAATACAAGTTTTGTAATTCTGAAATATCCTACTAAAAACATGTTAGAAGATTTTATTAGTTTTATATAACTGATTGCATTTAAAAACATCTTTACTCCAGACCCCAGGTCCATCAGGCTGGTTGGTTCTGGGGGACACTGTGCAGGAAGGCTGGAGGTTCTCCACAGCGGCTCGTGGGGGACAGTGTGTGATGACTCGTGGAATATTGAGGATGCGCAGGTGGTGTGCAGACAGCTGCAGTGTGGAGTGGCCCTCAGTACCCACATACCAGCCTGGTTTGGTCCTGGAACTGGGTCCATATGGCTGAATGAGGTGGAGTGTGAGGGGAACGAGACGTCCCTGTGGAACTGCAGATATCAGCTGTGTGAAGAGGGTGAATGTGGACACCAGGAGGACGTAGGAGTCGTGTGCTCAGGTACAGTGTAATGACTGAGATTAAACCTGTAAATATGTATATGACTGTATTCCAAAACTGAGGTCCAATGCTCCTGAGGTCCAATGCACCTGTATATAAATGTAATCCATGTTGAATGTCTTTTTACATAAAGATAATATTATACATATTTAACTGAGTCAATTTCTACAGATTAAGTGTAAGTCATCTTTCTTCCACCAGAGTTTAAAGAGATCCGACTCACGGAGGGCTGTGAGGGGAATCTGGAAGTGTTCTACAATGGAACCTGGGGTAATGTGTGTCACAATCAGATGGATGAGGAGACAGTAAACATGGTGTGTCGAGAGCTGAACTGTGGAAGACGTGGCAGTGTGTCAGAGACTGAAGCACGAGTAAAATCTGCTCCTAACTGGCTGGATCATGTAAAATGTAGGAAACACGACTTTAATCTATTGAAGTGTCCATCTTCACCCTGGGGACAGAACACCTGTGATAATCGTGATGAGGTGGCTCGTATTACCTGCACAGGTGGGTTAATTCTCTCATTGGGATTTATTAGGATTCTCTCTCTACTAGTTTTATACATTGCTGTAGAAGTTCCATAAATATTCCAGCTATAAAATAAGAAAGAGAAAAGTCTGTTTCATGCATTTTATTACTGCAGAAGATGCGAATCTACTACGTCCTCATGGAACATGCTCTTCATCTCCTCTTCAGAAATATTGCTCAAGTAAGGACACTTAAATCTGCAGCTTGATAAGGAAAGAGTTACTGTTTCTACCCAGAAGTTAATTATTTTCCTGTAACAGCAGGTCCTGAAGTGATTTTTTCCTCTAATAACACAGCAATAAACCAATGATTACATTTTTTATATTAAAGTATGATATGAAATGCATTTTATCCAAACAAGAAAAGTGGCATAGAAAAAAACACACACGACCGCTATAGACACATCAACGTATAATACTGAGCCACGTGCTCCAGTAACCCAGGCCTTTAAATACAGTGTCATGAACATAAAACACAAGCACCTGTGACCAATCAGTGCTAAAGCTAGTGCTAATTCGGAAGCGAGCGAACAAAGCAAAGTCACATGTCCACTAGGAAGCCCCCTGTTGGCGGTGGCGTGACATAAAGTTACAGCTTTATTTCTGACTGTTACAAAGCGCTGACAAAGCTCAATACAGAAAATATCACCATATATTACACACATTTTTCACACACAATTATATTCATTAAGTAACCACACAATTTCATGTCCACTTTTTATTAGTCTTCGATTATGTGGAGCGTCCTTCATACACTTCCCTGTGAAAGAGCTGTTACTATAGAAATGATAACATAATAGAACGAGTGCACGCCCCAAAACTTGGTGATATGAAGTAATGTGTCTTTGGTGAACTAGACCATGTTGAGTATAATATAAGGTTATATTATCATTGTGTTGTAGTGAGCTGTGTGACTGGAGCTGTTATTCAGCGTTGGTGTGTTTCCTCATGTGTGATGTGTGTGATGTAGAGCACTGGTCTCTCAGGCTGAGTGGAGGAAAGGGGAAGCTGCTCTGGGAGGTTGGAGGTGTATCATAACGCTCCTGGGGCTCCGTTTGTGATGATCAGTGGAACATCAGGAACGCTCAGGTGGTGTGCAGACAGCTGGGCTGTGGGTC